TCCATTTGTACATCTGAACATGAACTGAGGAAAAGGATATCTACATGTCACCAAAAACCCTGGGACTGGACCTTGCTGTACAGGAAAGTCTTTGAGTTCTTTTGGAGGTCATTTACTAAATGAATTCAGAGCTACATTGTACAAGGTGCCCTAAAGCTGCTTAATGACACAAGAGGATCTAGAATTAATTATTAATAGTTACTAAAGGGAAAGGGAAGCTATTTAGACCCATACTCTGTTTTGACAGAACAGGTACCAGCCCCGTGCTCCAGTATCCTAGCTACAAGACAAAGTGCTTCTGATAACGTGGAGGCCGGGCTCTACTTTATTACAGAGAGAGCAGAACACCGAGTGAAATCCCACAGGGAAATATTTATTAAGAATTGTCCTTTCTACAGGATTGCTGCAGTCAAAACATAAATGGGTTCTTGAGCCAGTCAACCTGCAAGGAGTGACTCTTCTCTCAGCTACTTTCTTCCAGTACCATCATTTTACACATGAGTATCTCAGTATTTTTCTTAAATCCTGTTCCAGCTACTTGCAAGTACATATCATGTGGAGTTATTACAGGACCACTGCTACATCCAAGCAAGAAACTACAAGGGGGAAAATACACAGCTTCCCAATATGGCAAAGTAAAAGTGATTAATAAGCCCAAAATAGCATCATACCCAGTGGCTACAAGAAAAGCCAGATTATTCCAATTTAGAACAATGTTTTCCAGCAAATTAACCCCAGGGAACACAGGGAAAGATTGGTCAAGTGCCTCTGGGCAGCACCACCTGAGTTTTCACGAAACATTCAGGTCACTGAAGTTACACACAAGATCACAAGTTTTAGACAGTGTAAAAGTCCCATTATGTTTCAAATATCTCTCTGTCTTCCATCTACTGCAGACCACAGCTCCCTGCTCTTTTTGTAAAGGTGAAAAATGGGGAAACATTTTATGACTGAAGTGGAGTTCACAACACAGAATCAATAAAACACATTTCCTTTAAAGCAACAGTTGTCTGTTAGCTACCACGACAGGTCAAACTGAAGCAGACAAACCAGGTGGACTGAAGGAGGAAGGGTTTCCTTCCCTTCAATACCTGCACTTCTACCTGATTATTAATAGCTAAGCAACTTCAGTTCTCAAAGCTCAACAGAACATACAAATACCCAATAATTGCTTCAAATGCCGCCAGGCAATTTTCAAATAGACAACAAAAAAACTCCTTTCTTGTCAATTTGATTGTCACTGGCCAGACTGCATTGCTCTTCTTTAGGAGGTGCACACTGTAAGGAAAAAAGACTTAACACACTAAAAATCTTCCACTGGACTTTCACCAAATGTGCACACTGGAGTGATAAGGATGTGCTCTTTCACAGCCAGGAGGAATGTTACAGTGCTCAAGGATACATGGTGGATGCACACTCATGCTACAGAGAGTCCACTTAGCTTAGAAAAGTACACCTTCCACATTGCTAGCTCCAAGACAAAATACTGCAATGCAGCAATTTTTTTACGACATGCTCCCAGGGTATGCCAGCATGGAAATCCAGGAAGAGGGCACTCAGCTGGAGAGAGACACTGAACAATGCACTGCACAGATCATGACATGTGGAGTTAGATGACAACATGAAAGAGCATCTTTATAGGACAGCATGTGGCTTCCTCAACTCAAACTGCTACATTTTGAGCAAACAGCAGCAGCGTTCCAGATGACCCCATTATGTCTTGCTTTCTTTTAGTACGTCTCTTGATGAACCATCAAGGAAAACATTTTCAAGCCTGAAGAATGCAAGAGTCTGGCAGTTGCACTGCAAGGAGGTTTCCTATGGAAGACAGCTTGCTGAACAGTTACAGCAGGAAGGAGGAGTGCATCAGTGGCATTTCCACACCATCATCAATAGGGATTTATTGAGGCATAACCTGCATTACAACCGAAGACTGAGCCGATCTCTTTTTTGTCTGCAGAGGGTGCCCAGCACTGCAGCAACATAAGTGAATGCATTCAAAACCATTAATTCTGAATTGCACCTGACCTGCTTTTCCAGGACTCCTGTGCTTACACCGCTGTGTACTCGCAGGGTGATTTGGTTTAGTTGCTCACTTCAGTGAAAGGCAGAGGCAGGAAAGTAAGGCTGTATCCCAAAATGGTCTGTAAGCCACAAGCAGCTCTTCTATTTTCCCTCCCTGTGAAAGACAGGGCTTCCTACCAGATAGACAGCTGCCAGCATTTGAAAGGCGATTACCCTGCCTGGTGAGCTCCAAGCTGCTGCTTTTCACTAGCAACAGTGACACAGTCGCCAGTCACGCAGATGTGGGTTTGCTTTGGGAGGAATGGGGAGGGAGTAGCCCTCCCTTAGACACTCTGCAGTGCAGTGCACACTGTGCTTCGTGAGAAGCACAACTGCAGCCATTCTCTCCGTCCTCCAACATCCCAGCCACCGTCCAATCCATGGCACCACACTGCAAGACAAGTTTTTTCACTCTGAGGAATTCCAGAGAAAGTGGAACCTCACTTTGGAAATGGCTGCACTAAGAATATTCTACCACTGTTGGTTTTTTTACTTATACATCCACATACATTATCTTTACTAATGTTTGGGTCTGACTAGTTACTGCAGTACAGCTGGTCAGCATCCTGCATTAAGTGCCAGCTGAAGCTGGTTGTATAGCTGACTGCTGAAGCTCAGGGCTGAACTTGGAAAAAGCTCTTCTAAAAACAATTTTGGAGTACTGCTGTGGCTTTTCTTGCCAAGACAAAAACCAATCACCCATTTTTTGGCCTTTGACTAGTGAGCCAGGGACTTGGCAGATAAACCTACACCATACGCAACTTTAGCAAAAAAAGTGCAGATAAAAAAGGAAACCTGAGACTAAGGTAAAAGCACTCACCCAGTCGGCAGCCCCACTGAGGCTGAGGTATGGAACAGGCAGCTCTTGGAACCAGCTCAGCCCACGCTGGGATCCAGCCACAGCCTCTCATGTTTTTGGGTGAAACGCCACATCCATCAGAATTTCACACCTCATTTGCAAAAGGTATTAGCAGGTTCTAAGAACAGCATCATGTCCGGATTAATGCTGTTATTGCACTTCTGTTCCTGACAGTAAATCCTTATCCCTTACATACTTCTGTGCCAACCGACTTAAGTCTCCTGTGGATGACTATGAACAAAGTTTACAGCCTGTCAGAGTAGCCCTTTGGATGTAGAGCGTGACATTTCCACAGGGACAGAGTAACTGTGCAGAGTGAGAGGATGGGTTTTTCAGGTATTGTATTTAAGTGTATGATGAGCTGGGACTACCCATGTTTATTTCTAGTCCAATTTCTCACACCTCAGCTACTTAATATGCGGAAGATTTCTTCATAGAGAATGTCTAAAAGGCTCACAGATCACCTAACAGCCTTTCCAGAGCTGCAGGCTCCCCGTTTTCACTAAAACTGTATCTTCACAAGACAATGAAAGCAAAAGTCAAACCATCACTGCTGGGATTCCTATGCAGTTACAGCTGAGGAGGAAAACATAGAAGAGGACTCTGTACCCAGAGAAGAGAGCTATTCTCATGCTTTATCTGAAGAGAAAACAGTTCTGGTATCAAAGCAGATAGATTTGCTTCTACCATTTCCATGATGCATAGCAGAACCAACAGCTGGAAAAGAAGTGGCAACTGGAGAAAACAATGCTGCTCTTCCAACAGCAAGTCTTGGTACAGACTGCTCACCTAAGAGCTCTACAATCCGGGTTCAAGACTGAGGAAGAAGTGGTTCAAAGTTCCAAAGAAAATCCTCCTTCTAAATGTAAAGAATGAAAAAACCTAGTGTCTAACAGTCCCCTAATCAGTTGCGCCTCAGAGATGTAGTCCCTTCAGTCAGAAAAGCATTTCCTAGATGAGTCTGTAAGAGATGCTGGCACATCTGAAGGTGCGTGATGATGCCTGTCCCTGTCACCCTGACAGAAGCACTCTGCTCCACAGCACCGTATGTCAACAGCTCTACATGAATATTAAGGCTTCAGTGGGTCAGTGAGTTCTACTTCATTTATTTTTCTTAAAGCTTATCCTCATTACATCAGTGAATCACTTCTGTCCTCCCCCAAATTAACAATCATTTGCTATGCCTTACTACTACAGCTACGGGCACCAGCTTGCCTTAGTAATGATACCAGAGTACTACAGATAAAATGCACATGGCATTTGTAACGTGTCTCTAAAGACTCCACTGCAAGTTTGCAGCTAATAGTTAAGACTTCCATACTCCCCTGCATTGAGTGTTCTGGTCATGATCTCCTTTCCTGACAAAAGCCACCTAGGACTGGGAGCTGCAGTTGCCTAGTTTTGACAGCAATACCATTTTGACCAGTTCAGCTCATCTCAAATAGCAGTATCATAATCCTACATAGCCAAGGAGGTATAAGTAGCCACCCAGGGAGGCTAAGTAACTCAGGATAATGGTGAACCAGAGATTTATGCTGCAGTACATCTGCTAGACAGATTTCCACTGGAGATTCTGGTACTGTTTATACTGTGCCAGAAAGGAGTGTCTTTTGAAATACCTTGAAAATATTGTATAAAGCAGATCAAAGTGCTCTGGGTCACAGCTTGAAATTAGATGTTTTAGATAGCATGGCAGACCCGTAAAAAGCAAGCATCAGTCTTACACCTCTTGTGTACTTCTTGTTAGGTGGGTGCGAATCAAGAGCAACTCCATGAACAGTGGAGAATTTACATCAATGCTTACTGAACTATGGGCTAGTGCTTTTAATGCAGATCAGTCACTTGCTTCCTGTATAGCAATACAGGTGAAAACCTGACACATTCAAGTGGACACCTGCATGGATAAGACAAGATACTTTTCAGCTTTCCCCGCTGATGTGAGTAGTGGCAGAAGTCATCTGATCCAATACCCCATTTAGTCTCTCAAATAACTGCAGTTGTTTCTATTCACTTGTCTTGCAATGTTTTGTCCAAGCCAAAAGGAGAGTTTATAAAAAGAAAAAAAAAGAATACTTACATCTCTTATCCTCTTTTTCCACCTTCTGACACGCTTTGTAATTCCCAGAATACATGTTACATAGCAAGTGTGTGTGTATATATATAAGCGCATTATATAAAATATATACTTTACATACACACTAAAGGTCTCTCTTCACATTAGCATTACACATTCTGAAGAACGCAACTGCAAACAATTCAGAATACCTAACTGATCCAGAAAGGGGAAAAAAGAATAAGCCACCCAAAATCCCTAGGAAAGCTCCACACTCCTTGCAGGTACCAAGAGATCCCATTTTCTTATGATTAGAGGAATAGTTATACTTCTTGCACTGCTTTGCTCCCCCCAGACACACCCCACTCTGCAGTTTCAGCGTTGGGAAGTGCTAGTTGCTCCCTTTCCACTGAGAGTAATATTAATAAATTAAAAAAGTTTCTCTGAACGTGCTGCCTTAGTCCAGTCCATCATGCCGTGCCTTCCCACTCGCCCCGTGGCTCTGCTGAAC